AACCCATCATGTTCCACATGATAAGGGAGGCTGGAGTCTTTCATGGACTCCCTGCAGAAGATCCTTACACACACCTCACAAACTTTCAAGATATTTGTGATAATTTCAAAACTGAGGGTGTGACAGAGGAAAGTATGAGAATGAGGCTGTTTCCTCACTCCCTAGGCTCAAAAGCAAAAATATGGATGAAAACTCTCACCCCTGTATCCATACACTCTTGGGAGGAACTTTCTAACAAGTTCATAGAACGGTTTCTCCCTATGTCTCGACAAGCTGATGTTAGGGCAGAACTCTCTAACTTTAGAATGTTTCATGGAGAAATTCTTTATGAAGCTTGGGAGAGATACAAGGACATCATCAGAAAATGTCCAAACCATGGGGTAGAAAGTTGGGGAGTTTTACAGTCTTTCTATAAAGGCATCGATCATACTTCTCAATCACATTTAGACTTTGCTGCAGGAGGATATTTTTTCACAGGTACCCTCGAATCTAGGTATGAGATCATAGAAGGCACTGTAGAAAGATGTCTCCAATGGCCACTGGAATGGATGAGCCCAGTAAGGAAGCCAGGCATGCTCGAATTAGACAAACAAACTGCCATGGAGTCCCAATTGGCCACATTGATGAATGAGGTGAAGAACCTGAAAGCTGATCAAGAACAACCAAGGATGGAAGTCTTACAACTCACAGCAACTGAGAGTCAACCATGCTTAGCCTGTGGTGACCTTCATGATTCAACAGACTGTCCAACTACTGCCTTGGTATGTTATGCAGAAAACTTCGGGAACAAAAACTTCACCCAGGCCAGAGACAATCAGAATGCAGGCAACAACAACAATCAAAACCCTGGAGGAACCATAGTGAAGGATTAGAACCATAATCCACAATGGAAACCACCTATGAACAAAAGACCATACAACAATCAGCAGCAGCCATATCAACAAGGCAGAAGCAGTGGGAACGGAGCATATGAGCCACAGAGGAGAACCAATTATGCTCCATTCTAAAGAGATGACCAACATATCAACACCCTGGAAAGCTATGTCAAAGACTTTGTCACCAGTAACGATGCTGTGGTTAGAAACATTGAGTCCCACCTGGGACAGATAGCTGCTAGCCTTAACACCAGAACACCAGGACATTTACCAGGGGATACTGAAGTTCCCTCAATAACCTCCCCAGAAACCTGAGAGGTTAGTAACATGTCTAGCTAAGGACATTAAACTAAGCGCTGACTGGGAGGCAACCCAGTGGATACCTTTGCCCGCTAACAAAGAGAAAAGTTTTGGGGTGGTTAAACTTAACCACACAGCTCCAAAATGGAGGGAACGTCTGATGTTCAACTCCAAATCCAACTGAAATACGTTCCGTTCCAGGAACGTAGTTTTGGGGGTGGTTCAATAACCACACATTCCCATATTACCTATCCTAAAAATATATATATATATATATATAATATATATAATTGTGATTATTTAATTTTACTTGCACACACCTTCATTTGCAATTTTTAACTAATTAGTATCTCTTTATCATGCAATTTCTGTTTCGAGTTATTTTATTAAGTAGGCTTGCATTTTATTTAATAGGAATTAGTTTATTTCTGCTATAGTATAGGTAAAAGACAAAGGGAACGTTCCCTGGCTTAGGAGATATGAGTGACAAGGATGCCTGTCCATTCTGAGTCACTCACATATACGCAGCCGTTATCAAATCTGCACTCATTGCAAATTTTGAAAACGTGCTCTGAAAAAGCAACTGTCTCCTCAGCCATTATGAAACTACTGCTACCCTATTCCCCTCTCTCCCACGTTTCTAACCTAAAACCGTTCCATCTCCTTACCACCATCAGAAGCAGTTGAATAACACTCTCCCTGAAAAGGTCCCCATTCCACCACCTCCTCAACTCCCTCTCTTTAACCTCCACGTCCTGGAAAACTCATCATTTTCCTTCCTCTGCATGCTTATTTAAACTCATCCCATGTACTCTTCAATCTTTACCATTCTCTGCTAATCTTAGAAACTCTTGTTCTTATTCTTATTCCCCTTTGCATTATTGTGCCCTACCCTTCTTTCTATTAGACCATGACTAAGCTCTTAGTAATAGTTACTCCTACGGCCAGCCATGACCAAGAACCCGAAATCACTGAGGAGGTTGTTCATCTCTATCCAGAGAGGAACATCTCTGATAGCGACACGGCAAGTGCACCGATCGTGAAAGTAAAAAAGTGTACCGGAGTACGAGATCGTTCCCACGAGGATCAGAATTTCAAGCACTAGTTAACTAATTGCGTTTTTGTTGGACAATCAAAGGTTTGGTTTGGGAGAATGGTGAATTTATATGAAAAGAATTGTTGTTCAAGACTTAAAATTAAAAACAAGTAAATGCATGCAATATGAAAATTCAGAATTAAAAGAATGAATGAGATGAAGTTTGATTAAGATTTAAAAAGAGAAGTTAAGGTTTCGACTTCCCCCAATATCCTCAATATGTTATAAATTAAATAGCCAAGAATCTGTTTCTTAATATATTGCAAATCAATTCTATCTAAGTTAATTTAGGGCTCAATTCCTTGTTACCCCAAATCTATGTAATCTTGAAAGAAGTCTAGTTCCCCGATTATTCCCCAAGAAAACATTCATTAAGATCAAGAATTACAAGATTGCATAATAACCTTATGTCTATTCCTATTCCTATTCCTAGATCACAAGGATTATGATAAATTATCAAGTCAAGGTTCATGCACCAACATCCCTATTGTCATACAATTCCCTAAAATCATTCTATAAGGAACAAACTCATAGAAAGCATTAAAAACAGATAATTTATTCAATTATAAAAAGAACAAGATTCAGAGACAATTTAATTCATAAACATAAAGATTCAATTGGGTTCCATCTACCCTTAACTACATAAAAAAACTACTCTAGCATACTGAATTAAAAAGAAATATTAAAGAAAAGAGAACCCCAAGCCTCCATTGGTCTGATGTTGACTTGGTTCCTCAATGTTCCACCGCTCCGCAACAGGATTCCTCCTTCAGTTTTGGTGTAATGCTCTGGAATTGTGTTTTGGTTGTGCTCCCAAGCTCCTTATTTATAACCACAGGAGTTGTATCCATCATCTAATCTTCCAATGAATCCATACAATATTTGTATTTGATTTCATCTTTGTTTCCTTTTTCATGTAAAATCTTGGAGATTTGGTTGATGAATTAGAGTTTTAAATCTTCGTTGTATCTTGCTTCAATTTTCTCAGGAATCATCTAGAAGTTTCCTTTTTAGTTCGATATCCTATCTGAACAAATCTTCTTTAAATCTCAGCAAATCTTTGTTAAATCTCGCTGTCTGAATCCCACTTGGGCGCTCAAGCGTGTTGTTGGGTGCTTGAGCGCCCTGAATTGCCTAAATTTGATGTTGCTGTCAGGATTTGGGCGCTCAAGCGTGCTAATGAGCGCTGGAGCGTGCTCCTCGAGATGAAATTATGTCTTCTTGGGCACTTGAGCGTGATGTTGGGCGCTTGAGCGTGCTATTTTGGACCTTGAATTGTAATATTTGAGCTTTCTTTGATCCATATTGATCCTTTACTTCTCTGTCATGATTTCTTTAGCACTTTTAGCACCAATTCTTGTGGTTTTTCCTTCAAAATGCAAATATTATCAAGACGTCAGCTCAATTTCCTATCTTATGACTTAAATGCCTATAAACCTTGAATTCCATGCAATCTATGAAGTATTTCTCATATAATTTAGCCTAAAAACATGGTAAACCAAAGGTTTATCAACCATTCCCAAATTTGAATATTGATGTCCTCAACAATCAATTAGAATAAAACTAAGGGAATATGGAGTTGGAATTCTTAATTGCGTGGAATTTGACAGAAATGATTTAATGAGAGACATGATTACAGAGCATGCAGACTTTAAAAATTAACGCATCAATCAACAAGATTCATAATTCATTAGTAAAAATATGTAACAAACTCTCTTAAGATCAAGAATAAGAGAATATTTACTGAAACATTTCCTCACTAGGATTTCAATTCACTCACCCTCAACTGTTTAGAGGGTTGGCTTACTTTCTCGAGAAGACTCCTCATTGTGTTCTTCTTCACCTTTCTTTTCACCAATGTAGTAGACTTGATCTTCCGGTTGAGCTATAGATGAGGGGACTTCTTTGTCAAAGAACTTGAAAGTTACTTGCTCTCCGTCTACCCGTAATATCAGCTCGCCTTTTAGCACATCAATCAGTGCTCCTGAAGTTGCCAAGAAGGGTCTTCCAAAAATTATAGGAATTGTGGCATCTTCTTCAATGTCAAGGATGAAAAAATCGACATGAATGATGAATTTGTCTACCTTAACCAATATGTCCTCGATGATACCATAAGCTTGCTTTGAAGAGCGGTCAGCCAGTTGCACTATCGTCTTTGTGGGATTCACTTCGGTTATCCCCAGCTTCTTCATCATGGAGAGTGGCATGACATTGATGCTAGCTCCAAGATCACAAAAAACATTGTCTACTTCCATCTTGCCTAAAGTGCATGGAATGCTGAAGCTCCCTGGATCCTTGACTTTGGTAGGTAACTTCTTTTCACTGATAGCATTACATTCCTCCGTCAGATTTACTGTCTCACATTCCCGCAACTTACATTTCCTTGATAATAGATCTTTCATGAATTTTACATAGTTGGGCATGTTCTCTAAAGCTTCGACAAAAGGAATGTTGATATGCAATTTTCTGAATATGTCTAGAAACTTTGAATATTGCTGCTTCTGAATGTCTTTATTTAATCTCTGAGGATAAGGGATTCGAGCATATGGAGAGAGATCTAATGGCTTATTCTGTCTTTCTAAAGCTTTCTTCTTCTCCCACTTGAATAGTTTCTTTTCAGCTTTTTCAGGATTGCTTTTGTCAACTTCAATTGTATCCTTTGCCTTTTCTTCCTTCTCTTCTTCATCTGATGCTTCTCCATCCTTCTTTTTTTTTTTCGGGCTGTTCCTCTATAGCTGAATTATTGTCCCACTCCTAGTGGTGATAGCATTGCAATGCTCCCTTGGATTGACAATTGTGTTGCTTGGCAAAGCACCCTGAGTCCTTTCAGTGAACTGTCTTGACAGCTGACCAATTTGAGTCTCCAAGTTCCGGATCGAAGCTTCTTGATTCCGAAATGAGGCTCTTGTCTCCTCTCTGAAGGAATTTGAATTTTGAATGTAGTTCGAGGTGGTCTTGGACAGATGTGCAAATGCTTTTTCCCACTCTGATTGTGGAGGTTGCTGCTGTTGTTGCAATGGCACAGGAGGATTCAGCTGGTAGTTTGACTTGTAACTCAACCCTGGATGTTGATTCTGATTCTTCTGATCATACCAGAGTCCATTGACCTCTGCTAGTGACTTTTCTGCTGCTCTTATGTATTCACAATCCTCAGTTGCATGAGCCTCCTGACAAATATCACATTTAATGTTAGCATTAGAAACAGAAGAAACTTGAGAAATATTAAATTTCTTATTAAGAGCATCTAATTGTTCTTGTTGTTTCTTGTGCATTTGTAGCATTTGTTCATTCTGGGCTAAGAGTGCATCATAGCCTTCAAGCTTCATAATTCCTGATCTTCTTGGTGCAACTGGAGCAGAGGCATTGTCAAATTCTTGAGATGCTAATAATTCCAACAATTCAAGTGCTTCTTCTGGAGTTTTTGTTTTCAATGAGCCTCCGGAAGCAGCATTTACCAATGTTCTTGTGTTGGATGTCATTCCTTGGAAAAAGATCCTTGCTTTCTCCCATGCTTCAATTCCATGTTGAGGACACTTCCTGAGTAATCCTTTGAGTCATTCCCAAGCCTCGTACAGAGATTCGCTTTCTTTTTGTTCAAAAGCATTGATCTCCGCTTTGAGCCTTGCCATCTTTGAAGCTGAGAAAAATCTGGCCAAGAATTTTCTTGCTAAGTCATCCCAACTGGTTATGCTTCCTTCAGGTTGAGACTGCAGCCAATCTCTTGCTTCATCCTTTAGTGAGCATGGAAATAGTCTGAGCAGGATAGCATCACGAGGAACTCCATTCACTTTTAATGTATCACAGTAAAGTAGGAAATCATCAAGATGACTATAAGGGTTCTCTGAGCTTCCTCCAGAGAACTGATCTTTTTGAATCAGTTGCAGCAGTGCCGGCTTCAGTTCAAAGTTGTTAGCCTCTATGTTTGGTCTACAAATGCTTGCCGTCTGTGGAGCTCGATCTGGGGTCATGTAATCCCCCAACGTCCTTCGAATGAAATGATTATTTTCTGCCATTGGTTCCTCCTTAGGTTCCTCTTTTGGTTCCGTCGAAGTTGATACATTTGTTTCCTTCGCTTTCTTTGCTTTTGCGTCTTTGCTAAGTTTTCTTTCTGTCTTTTCTATCTCAGGATCAAACTGCAAGGTTCGCGGGTTAAGAGTACCTCGCATAAACTAAGATTGAAAAGATGTGCAGAAAAATAGAAAAAAGGCAAAAAAGAAAAACAGAAAAAATAAAAAATAAAAAAACAAAGAATGCACAAAAATAAATATGCAGAAAATTGATGCAGAATTTTAATGCAGAAAAATATTTTTGAAGAATGTATAAAGTGCAGAAAAATAAAAGTCCAATCTAAAATTTAATTAGTTACTTCTAATGTTGAAGAATCCCATCCCCTGCAACGGCGCCAAAAACTTGATAACGACACGACAAGTGCACCGATCGTGAAAGTAATAAAGTGTACCGGAGTACGAGAACGTTCCCACGAGGATCATAATTTCAAGCACTATTTCACTAATTGCGTTTTAGTTAGACAATCAAAGGTTTGGTTTGAGAGAATGGTGAATTTAGATGAAGAGAATTGTTGTTCAAGACTTAAAATTAAAAACAAGTAAAGGCATGCAATATGAAAATTCAGAATTAAAAGAATGAATGAGATGATGTTTGATTAAGATTTAAAAAGCGTAGTTAAGGTTTCGACTTCCCCCAATATCCTCAATACGTTATAAATTAAATAGCCAAGAATCCGTTTCTTAATATATTGCAAATCAATTCTATCTAAGTTAATTTAGGGCTCAATTCCTTGTTACCCAAAATCTATGTAATCTTGAAAGAAGTCTAGTTCCCTGATTATTCCCCAAGAAAACATGCATTAAGATCAAGAATTACAAGATTGCATAATTACCTTATGTCTATTCCTATTCCTAGATCACAAGGATTATGATAAATTATCAAGTCAAGGTTCATGCACCAACATCCCTATTGTCATACAATTCCCCAAAATCATTCTATAAGGAACAAACTCATAAAAAGCATTAAAAATAGATAATTTATTCAATTATAAAAAGAACAAGATTCAGAGACAATTTAATTCATAAACATAAAGATTCAATTGGGTTCCATCTACCCTTAACTACATAAAAAAACTACTCTAGCATACTGAATTGAAAAGAAATATTAAAGAAAAGAGAACCCCAAGCCTCCATTGGTGTGATGTTGACTTGGTTCCTCAGTGTTCCAGCGCTCCGCAACAGGATTCCTCCTTCAGTCTTGGTGTAATGCTCTGGAATTGTGTTTTGGTTGTGCTCCCAAGCTCCTTATTTATAACCATAGGAGTTGTATCCATCATCTAATTTTCCAATGAATCCATACAATATTTGTATTTGATTTCATCTTTATTTCCTTTTTCATGTAAAATCTTGGAGATTTGGTTGATGAATTAGAGTTTTAAATCTTCGTTGTATCTTGCTTCAATCTTCTCAGGAATCATCTTGATTTGTTTCCTTTTTAGTTCCATATCCTATCTGAACAAATCTTCTTTAATTCTCAGCAAATCTTTGTTAAATCTCGCTGTCTGAATCATACTTGGGCGCTCAAGCGTGTTGTTGGGTGCTTGAGCGCCCTGAATTGCCTAAATTTGATATTGCTGTCAGTATTTGGGCGCTCGAGCGTGCTAATGGGCGCTCGAGCGTGCTCCTCGAGATGAAATTATGTCTTCTTGGGCGCTTGAGCGTGATGTTGGGCGCTTGAGCGTGCTATTTTGGACCTTGAATTGTAATATTTGAGCTTCCTTTGATCCATATTGATCCTTCACTTCTCCGTCATGATTTCTTTAGCACTTTTAGCACCAATTCTTGTGGTTTTTCCTTCAAAATGCAAATATTATCAAGACGTCAGCTCAATTTCCTATCTTATGACTTAAATGCCTATAAACCTTGAATTCCATGCAATCTATGAAGTATTTCTCATATAATTTAGCCTAAAAATATGGTAAACCAAAAGTTTATCAACCATTCCCAGATTTGAATATTGCTGTCCTCAACAATCAATTAGAATAAAACTAAGGGAATATGGAGTAGGAATTCTTAATTGCATGGAATTTGACAGAAATGATTTAATCAGAGACATGAATACAGAGCATTCAGACTTTAAAAATTAACGCATCAATCAACAAGATTCATAATTCATCAGTAAAAATATGTAACAAACTCTCTTAAGATCAAGAATAAGAGAAAATTTACTGAAACATTTCCTCACTAGGATTTCAATTCACTCACACTCAAATGTTTAGAGGGTTGGTGTTTCACTCTTGTTCCACTGTATCAACACTACCATAGGCTTGCATATATTCTCGGCTCTCCACAATTCTTATGATAAATTAAGCAGATCAAGAGGTCTTCAATAGGGTTATAATGTGGCCCGGTTAAAGGAAAGAAAAGATTTTTGGAACTAAGTTCAAGAATTAAATTCAGATTCTGAAGGAAGGAGTAAGCGTAATTTGTTTCGTACATTTGTACATTTTTCTTCTTCTTCCTTTTGAACTTTTTCTCTTTTGACGTTTTCTTTCCAATAATTTTTTGCTTTTTTTTTCACTTCTTCGCCTTTCTTTTTCTTTGAGCTTTTTGCTTGCTCTTCTTTGTTCTAACCAACTTTTCTTCCTTGGGCTTTGCCCTTTTCTTCTTAGGAGCGGGATGGACCAACTCTCTTCTGTTGTCAACAAATGCCAGGAACAGTAGAGAACAGAAAGAGAACAGCTCCTTAACACCATCAGAGACAGCATCAGCAGCATCAGGACTGCACCCTCTGCACCGACCTTGCAGGCTGTTAGGGACGAAATCAAGAAAGCATCTGAACCCCTTCAACTTGCTTACTCCCTTCACAACACCAGAGCTGAACTACAGCTGAAGAAACTCCTCCTCAAGAACACAGAGGAACGAACAGAAACCAAAGAAGCTCGCAAAGCTTTTGGTACATATTTGGAGGGGAAAATCACTCAGATGGAACACATAATGCTGGATGTGGAGGGACAGCTAGTGCACATCCACAATGGTAGGATAATGATGAGATCCACCATTGTGCACCTCACTGATGTGATCAGCGATTTACTGAAGGATGCTGAGAAGTGACTCCCCGCAGCTGAAGTAAGAAGATTTAGAGAACAGCTCAGCAGGAGACCACCCACACAGGAGGAGCTGGATGCTGAGAAGGAGAATTTGAATTGGGCAAGAAAAGGCCTCAGTGAAAAGGAGAAAGATCCTCCTAATTTTTTGTTTTGTGTTTTTTCCTTTTATTGCTTTATGTTATTTCCTTTTATTTCCCTTTCTGTTCCCTAGTGTAATTTTTAAATGCCTTTCTTTTTGAAATAGAAAAATCTTTTTGATCAAACTGTTTAGAGCATGCATCTCATTTATAGTACTGTGGCTGTGACACTTTGAATAACCAATGACAGGAAACACAAAGTCACTAAGTAACCATTCTTGTTCTTACTCTGAATGCTTGACATAGGAAAGGTAAAATAAATTTAATCTTCATATTTTTGAAGCAGGTTGATCTGTGTGAACTAAAACTGGTGAGGAACGAAAAATGCCAAACACTTACTCATGAGAGCGTTCCTGAGGTGTCACCACAATGAAACTTCTAAACTTGCCTTGACGCTGTAAATACTGCTGAAGAACAGGTGAATTTCATTAACAGGGATCAAACCACCAAACACTAACCCCCTCACAATCATCCAAACACTTCCGTTCCCATTCACACCACAGCTTTATTCCACACACTCACACTCACTCACAGGTCAACAAAAAGGAACAAGGAACAAAATCGAAATGAGCACAAAGGGCAGAAAGAAAGAAAACAAAGCAAAATGGGGACAACCATTCAAAAGAATTCAGAAGAAAATACCAGAAAAGCTTCCTCCAAACCAAAGGAGGGAAAGAAGGTACAAAAGACAAGGTGTCCCCACAAACATAAAAGTCTAGCTCTAGGACAGAAAAATTGAAGCACATTCCTTGACTCAAAACTCGTGACCAGTCCACTTTTAAATCCCTTCCATCCATCCCTTTCACAAAGATCCTTGACATGGAAGACACCTGCACTTCTCAGGAAAGCAGCAGATAAGCAAGTTTGAAGAATCACATCCAGGAATGGACAGAGAAACACCAAGCCCTGAGTGAGAGTGACACAAAAGATCAGCAGTCATCACTTACCTGGGAACAAATTCTTAAGTTGAGCTATTCTTTGAAATTGAGCAGCCTAAGCAACTATTTATGAGTTGTTTGAGGACAACCAATAGTTTAGTTTTGGGGTGTTTGATGGGACAGAAATCTGTGCCCATCTAAGCCCATTTTGATGGCAAAATACCATCTGTTCCTTCACCTGATGAGCAACTTTAGCACTAAAAACACATATTTCCTATCTTTATCACAAAAACACAGTTGGGAACAGAAGGTGACGTAATCTTTGGAAAATATATAAAAAAGGGAACAGATTTGGAACATTTATTACACCTGCTTCACTCACTCAACCCTCTGACCACTTTTCAAGAAACGTTGAAAAGAAGTTTCCAATTAAGCACAAGTGGGCAACACTCAACCAAGGAGAAAGGTGCACAATAGGGAATAAACGGTTCCTATTGGACGAAAAGGAACGCAAGGCATGAGAGGTTCAGAAGGAAAGACAAATCTCAGCAAAAACTATCCCATCCAGCCACGTGCGCCCCACAAAGCACTGTTCACACCGCCCCTTTCATGCAGTCAAGAAACTGACTCCGAAGAATTTACAAGCTTGCCATTCACTCTTCTGCCTATAAATAAGACGTTCCAGCACGAAGACATCCATCGCATTCCTAAGGGATTGAATTCCTTAAGAAGAGATCACTTAGTTTATTTTTCGTAGTTTTTATTTGTACAGTTTTAACATTAGTTAAGTGACAACACTTCTTCTTCTTTCTGTATCACTCACTTGAGACTCCTTACGAGCAAGAACCATCTTCTCCACTTTTCATTTTGTTGTAAGCACT